CGATCAGGCTCCTGAAGTCCCTCTTCAGTGTCTCCGTCTGCCGCAGCTTGGTGTCGTTAGATGCTCACCAAAGCTGAATTTATTTAATCACCGTATTCATTTATTTAAAACCGTAATAATTTGATATATTATTCATTTAAAATAGCAGTTTTCTAAATGTAATTTATTCCTGTCTTACCGATCCCAGTAGTGTATATTTTAATAACTGTCTTGCTTTCACAAATTGCTGTGTAATATTTAATGAAAAATATATTTATTATTTATATATTTATTCAATAAAAAAAAAAGCATTTTCACTAGTATTGTCAGACTTTTGGACCCTGCTCTATAGTGTAAAATCAGCTAACATTAAATGTACGCATTATTTACGTTTATTTGGTGACTCCTTCAAACATACAATTAATTGTAGAAAACTGCTGCTTGAATTGTGCCAGTTTTTGCTATATTACGTGGGTAATTAGTCATCAATTGGCATCAGGAAGGGGGCCAACACTTTTTCACACCACTGTATATATTTATTCAATCAAAAAAAAAAGCATTTTCACTAGTATTGTCAGACTTTTGGACCCTGCTCTGTAGTGTAAAATCAGCTAACATTAAATGCACGCATTGTTTACGTTTATTTGGTGAATCCTTCAAACATACAATTAATTGTAGAAAACTGCTGCTTGAATTGTGCCAGTTTTTACTATAATAAATGGGTAATTAGTCATCAATTGGCAGAGACAGTTTACAATTCCTGATTGGCTTTGATGACTGTTAAACAAAGTGCTTTTATCTGCCAACTGAGTTCTGCTGTATTTTAATACACTCAAACTATTACCAAGGTAAAGAAAAAAACACCTGTTGATATAATCATGTCACTTTAGAAAAGTGTTTATAACCCATCTGCTGAGATTGATTTTATTTCTTGTTGATTAAGCCCTGATGAGGAACAGTCCTTCAATAAAGGTGGGTGAAACTGACAAACAAAAGAAATAATAGTGTCTTTAACATGTTTGGCCTTTACCCCATCATCACCCCTTTCCATGCTGTTATGGGTGCTCTGCCCTCCCCCCGTTTTCCCTCCAGCCTCCCCTCTCCGCCTCCTCCCCTCCCCCGTCCCATCCAGCGGGCCTTAATCCTGAGCGCTAATGACAGGGACACAGAGAGAGGGGGAGAGAGGACTAGGGTTAGCGTGCGGCAGAGGAGGGGAGTTTAACTTGGCGCTGGTTGTCGTGTTATGCAGGAGGACGAGAACTCATTGCAGATTTGGGCTGGAGGACTGAAAGAGCTGACCACCATGAAGGCAGACGTGTCTCAGTACGTGCTGCCCACAGACACCGTGCTGCTCCAGGGACAGGTGGAAGAACTTCACAGCCAATGGGAAGAACTGTGCTTGAAGGTGAGTGGGTGTTTGTGTTTGAGAGGAGAGAGAGACAGAGAGAGTGAGAGTAGGAGGGAAAGAGAGGCTGTTGTCCAGGCAGCGTTGAAAGGCACACAATGATTCACCGTTGGAAGTTGGGGGGAAACTTCACAGTTCCGCATGACACAGAAAAAGAGAGGGAAAATGAGAATGTATATGAATTGATCTAGGTTCATAGTTATTATAATAGTTTTCTCATCAGAATGATGTCCTGAGACACATTTGTTTCTGACATGAAAAATAGCACAAGAAAAAAAAAATTCACCTGCCTTAAAGGGACAGTTCAGACCAAAATGAACATTTTCATTTACTTGCCCACTAGCTGGTCCATACTGTGTTTTTTCTTCTGTGGAACACACAAGGAGAAGTTTTGAATCATGCAAGTCTCTCTTTTCCATGCCTTACAGAGAATAGAGAATGAATGCCCATTCAAGATTCAAAAAGGATGCAGAAATCCCCGTAGAAGTATCATGAAAGTTGTTCCTATGTCTCGTGCACTATATCAGATTCAGAAGACTTGGAATTATTTTCATCTGTTAGGATGTTACCACTACAGCAGAATTATTAAGTCATTAACGAACAGTTGAACTCAAAAACTTGATCAGTTAAATTCATGATTAAATCATTCAGAATCAGACCAGTTTTGTGAACTGAATGAACCAGTACACTGAAAAGATTTGATCTATTTTTTTTTTATTGAATAACGCCTTAAATTAATGTTATTTACTCATGCCAAGCTATCATATGACTTCAGAAGACTTGAAATATAGCACAAGAGACACATGGACCACTTTTTGGAGCTTGACAGCTCTACTAATACTATTGGCCAGGATAGTTCTCAAAAATTTACTTTTTGTATTCTGCGGAAGAACGAATGTTTTTTCGGTTTGGTTAATGATGAGTTTTCATTTCTGGGCAAACAATCCCCTTAACATTAAATCTTTGCTATAATTACATTAGTTTTGCTCTTTATTAAATAGAATAACGTCTATTTTAACTCACACTTCAATATGCATTACTTATTTAGCTAATTTTTTAAGTTGCTTCCCAGGCATTTTAAAGGCTGATTGAGGACTTTTTTCTGAGATTATCTGTCTAGCGCAGGTGTCCGGTCTGCCGTCATTAAGTAAAGTAGCTGAATGGCCCGCTGACGTTTGAATGGAGTTGCACTTGTAACTAAACGGCCTGAGCAATTAAAAACAGAAAGGCAACATTTAGGACAGATCGTTGCATGGCCTACGTCCAGCCCTTGGTCTTGTCACCACATAACGCAGTGTGCCTTGTTTAATGAACCCCTTTTCAGTTTGTGGAGTTGTTGTTGCGAGTTTTCAGTCCTGTCTTTATTTGAAATTCTGGCCGGACGCCAGAACCGAGCCAATGAGGTCAGTCTACGTTGTGCGTCAGTGTCTGCGGCCAACAGGTTGCAGGTGGAAACATTCCCTGGAATGAGTGACAGATGGCAAAGCTAGGCCTTGTTTTTCTTTTATTTGTCTTTGCATATGTGTTGGGGCAAGTGGCTTGGGCTGAAGGAAATGCATCAATAATGCGTTCAACAAAAAGGCTGTGAATAGAAGTGATCAACTAACCTCAATGTCCTTGTGCTTTCTTTTAAACTCATGATTAATATTCTTGTTTTGAAGGAAAACTACAATATCACATTCTCTTACAGCTCTAAGTGTGACATTAATGGATCAAGGAAAACGTATAGCCTTCACTGACAAATGTAGCATGGAAAATGCCTTCGTTCTTTTTAAAAGGCTGCATGTAAGCCCCAGCAATCTAGGACTGACACAAGCAACAGGGAACTACAAAGCATTGCCCGTGTCCCCTAGTGTGTCTTGGTATTAGTACATACTAATAGACAAGCCCCTTACTGACAGAAAGCAGTAAAAGCGAGTAGGCCTTTGCTTTTTACTCTTTTGCTTAATAGTCCAGTAATCAATCTCACAGCGTGCGATGAGTTTCGTTAAAAGCCTTTTCGGATGGCCTGCTTTTAAAGAATAAAGTCATATAGTTGTAACCTGACACCTTTGTACGGAGTTGTTTTCAAGTCTTTTCTCATGTGTGAATTGGGGTAGTGAACCAGCCACAAAGAGTGCAAGTTCTTCTGTACTCTCTCTAGCACTTGAGAGTAGGACATATGCTCTCAAAGATATTTCCTGAATGAATAAATGTCATTATAATGAAAAATAAAATGTCATTACCAGTGCTGATATCTGGGAAACTTTTCAGTCTTTACTGTAAGAAAATGTTTTTTAATACTTCTAACATTTTTGTCATACTGAAGCATTTTAACACTTTATTCTTCCTCTTGTGTGTAGGTGTCACTTCGCAAGCAGGAAATAGCTGATCGCCTGAACGCCTGGATCATCTTCAATGATAAAGACAAGGAGCTCTGTGATTGGCTGACGCAGATGGAGAAAAAAGTGGCACACGGGGGCGAAAACCTTAGTATTGAGGAAATGATGGAGAAACTTAAAAAGGTAGAGTTTGGTTTTCTTTATAGCTATGATTTTTTTTTTTTAACTCCTTAAAGGGAAAGTTCATCCAAAAATGAAAATTCCCACTCAGCCTTTTGTTCTATAAACATACAACTTGCGTTTTCTTTATAGCTATGATTTTTTTTTTTTAACTCCTTAAAGGGAAAGTTCATCCAAAAATGAAAATTCCCACTCAGCCTTTTGTTCTATAAACATACAACTTGCACTACCTCCCTTCAAATGTTCTATAAGGGTCTATAAGATATTTTTTAAAGAAATCTCTTATGCTCACCAAGGCTGTATTTATTTGATCAAAAAATACAGTAAAACAGTAATATCATGAAATATTATTACAATTTAAAATAACTGCTTTCTGTTTTAATATATTTTAAAATTCCTTTGATGACGGTGCTGAATTTTCAGCAGCCATTACTTCACTGTCACATGATCTTTCAAAAATCATTTATATTTATATCATATGTCAGATGTCAAATCATAATATGTTCATGTAAACTTTATATATATATTTTTAGAACTGTTTGATGTTTGATAAGAAATGCATATTTCAAAATTATAATTTTATTAAAAATTATATAAATATCTTTACTGTCACTTTTGATCAATGTAATGCACCCTTGCTTAATAAAAGTATTAGTTTATTAGTAATTAATTACATTGCTAAACCCCCTGTTTTTATAGTTACATAACCATAACAACATGTCACTTTAAGATAATTTCAGGAAAAAGCATCACATGGGTCTGTTTCCATGTGCCTTTGTCATGGCGAGTTTCTGTTGTACATTTGTAAGGAGCTTAAGTAGGCCAGTAATATGGTATTATATGGTGTGTGCTATTATGAGTATCTATGAAGGATTAAAGCAGTCTCAAATGAACAGCACGCTTAAGCGTTCCCAAGGGAGGCCCCACAGATTTTACATTTCACAGAGGCTCTGTTCTATCCACTCACATAGCATTTGTTAATTTTTTCTCAAACATGCTACAAATGTACATTGTTTTCTAAACATCATAGATTAGCTCTAATCTAGTTTACTGCATGTACTATAAAATTGAGGGCAGAGTGCTGTACTGCATAACTCTGTTCATTTGTTTACCTCTTTGTTCATACGCAACAATAGCCTCGTATGTGCAGTTTCTCTCTCACCATCAAACAGTGCAACCTCAAGCACTCTGCAGTCATTAGCATGTAGTTTACCGTGGAGGTTTTGGAGGGTTTCAGGCCACATCACTAATGATCACATATCAGAAAACTGGCCATTGTCTCTTTCTAGCTCAGTTACTGATGGCCAGTGCCATCTATATAATAACTATATAACTATATAATAGTATAATAACTCTGCTGCCTGCTGTTCAAAGTGAGCCAGGTTGGACTAAACAAAACAGGTGAACCCTTAAAAGCAGAGAGGATAATGAAAAGGATTTGGGCTGCCGAGGGGTCAGTGTGAATAATTGTTCCTCTTTTCTTTTCTTTTTTTTTTTAAATGAGGGCTCATGCTGAGAGAAGGAACATAGTTTTGACAGCTGTCGGTTTTGTTTGGGATGGCTGTGTTAATGACTAAAGCACATGAGAGGCCGCTGCTCATTGTGCACATCTCTCTTCAGGACTGCATGGAGGAGATTAACCTCTTCAGCGAGAACAAGAGCCACCTCAAGCAGCTGAGCGAGCAGCTCCTATTGGCCAGCGACAAGGCTAAGGAGGCAGAGATCCACGGGGCCTTGCAAGATGTCAATGACCGCTGGCAGCACCTGTTCGACCACACTGAGGCCAGGTGAGCAAAAAAACAAATGAGCCAAACTGAACTGTGGTGAATAAATGCTTTGAGGAATAAATGCTAAATTGATAAAACTCATTTCTTTCCGTTTTGCCTGATGTTTGCTATTGTTGCTCTGTATCCATTGATTAATGGCTGATCAAAGCTCTTTGTTTGTTTAAATGTCTTAGCCTTCATCACTTCTGGTTTCCATTCAAGGACTGACTGATTGATTGGTTCTTTCATTTGTGCATTTCTGCCTCATTTTTAGACCTGTTGGTGGTGACAAAGCCTTTGATTAGACTTTTATATAAATTTTTGAGGCATTTAACAGATTCTTTTATCCAGACTGAAAAACAGAAAGTGCTTAACCTTTCAGTGTGAGACTGTTGTGATCAGTAGATGGTTAGCAAGTAGTTCAAAAAGCTGATGATGGGAAAATAACTCTTTCCTGTGCAAATATAAACATGTAGAGGAAAGTGGTGTAAGAAGTGCCTTTGTCCAGCAATTAATGCCTGTAGTTAGAAATGCATATATGAAAAGCCTTTAATTGCTAAAAATTTGGGAAATACTAGTATATAACTCGAGCGCGACACACTGAAAAAGCTGCGAGGCGCAATGGTCAAAGATTTCCATCTAGCGTCATATTTACATAGAAAAGCTATTAAAAAAGCAGTGGAGCTTTGTAGACAGCTCTATCACGTCATCTCCATAAGAACGATATGATTGCCAGAACGACTTTACCGGGATTTTTGAAAGGGTCATGTTCACACATGATCTCTTAATGGTAACTTCCCGGTAATTTACCAGTAAAGACTGTATGTGTGAAAGGGGCTTAACTCTTCCTCTGCATATGCGGTGAGTTTAGGTTGCTTAATTAACGTTCATCTGGGAAAACTCACTTGATTTGTAAGGTAAATCATTTAAGTCTATGCCAACACAGGAGAATACATCAACATATTTCTAAATATGCGATTTATTGTACATCGCGATTTCAAGATAAAAGTTTCTGACTTTGCATGTGGCCATATATTAAAATTAAATGGATTTAAATGTCGTTGAATCACATGAAATATCACCAGGCCATTGGCGCCCTCTGCAGGTATTTGTTATAATATAGGCATATTACATTATGTATTTAACAGTGTTGTTCAATAAAAC